TTGTTTTTAATTTTACTATTTTAAATTAACAATAACAATAGGGAAAATCTATGATATGAAAAATGCATTTTTTCAGATCTGGTGAAATGGATCAATCAACATTCAACTTTTTGCTTGGGTGAATACGGGTTATCCCAGGTAACCAGTTTTAAAAACAAGTATTTAAATCACATTTCAAAAAAAATTGTCACCCTCCCCCTTTTCTCTTTATCTCCAAATTCCAACCCCATGCCCTGCGCTATGCCAACCTTATCATCAAGAAGCAATCGAGTCCCGCTATAGAGAGAGACAACCTTTATTGCCGATGGAAAATGGCTTCCCCAGCTGCAATCGAGTCCATTGTCGTCTTCAAGAAACCAGACAACCTTCGCTGGTGGAAGGTAATAATTAATTAATTAAGTTATTTAAGTACTTATTATTCTATTAACCACCTACAACCACATCTATAGACTGTAGTTTATAAGAGATGACATGTATTTTTCCACATTTTGGTTATTAACCAGATTTCTTTTTTCTATGCAATCACCAAGGAGGGATTGTTATAGGATTCTGCCATGGAAGAAGAGTTCCACAATGCACGTATCAGTGGGCAACTGCATTGTAGCAGTAGAGATTGAGTAAGTTTTTGATTCATTAATCTGTATTTTTTTTTTTTTTTTTTTTGGGGGGGGGGGGGGGGGGTGTGAATTCATGAGGGTAAAATCAGTTTCTGTTCACATTACTATAACTTCTAATTCGTAAAATACAGCATCGTACTGGTAATAATGGTCTTTCTTGGTAGAACTCCAATTCCAACTCCAACATAACAAATCGTAACAAAACAAAATATCAAAATCTCTCTAGCTGGTAACAAATTCAGAAATATGTCCAACCCAAAAGAAAATACAACTCAATTACTCTTTACCAACTGACCAAGTGTTACAACTTTTTTGTTAGCATTCAGTTCCTCTGAAAATACAACTCAATTACTAGTTCCCTGTATGTGCTTATTTTCAACTTCTCAAAGCATTTTTTTTCACTTACTATGCCTTGTGTTTATTGATTTTTGGTTTACAGACTACAGTTATGCCACTAGGAGAGGAGGAACTCCATTTGGTAGCCATGTTATCTAAAAAGAATGATAAACAATATTTATGTTTTTGGGGTTTTAATGTTGCACCAGTGCTTTACAATTCTTGTCTTGTCATGCTAAATCTTAAATGTCTTGGCATGGTATTTGATCTTGATGAAACCACTTATAGTTGTAAACACAATGTGATCATTTGAGGATCAAATTGATGGCTTACAGCGGAAAATAAATACAGTGGTGGATCCCCAACACATTGCTGGTATGTTAGCAGAGGTTAAGCGCTATAAGGATAACAAGATTATTTTGAAACAGTATGCATAAAATGATTAGGTTGTTGACAATGGAAAGGTGATTAAAGTTCAATCTAAGATTGTTCCAGCTTTGTCTGACAACCATCAACCAATTGCCCGTCCACTTATAACGTTACAGGAGAGGAACATTATTTTGACTCGCATAAATCCTGGGGTGTGTATTCACCAAATCCAAATCCTTTACTTAGGTCAAATCCATAACCCAATTGTGGATTTACAATTTCAAAAAGAGAAGTTCGACCAGAAGAGGAAACTCGAAGGAGATAAGAATGGGTAATTCGATTAACAGATAAATTAAAGAGTATTTTAAATTTTAATTAATATATAAAAAAATGATTACCGATTACTTAAATAAATTCGGTAACTGCTGTTTACGTGGCAATAATAGAGATTTTAAATATGGTATGGTTTTCCATATCATAGTCGGACCCATGGGACTTGTTGGTTCAGCTCATCAAATAGGGTGCAACTTGGATTGTGGTTGGATCAATTGAACATAACCCAAAAGACATAGATATTATTATTAATTGGAATTATTCGGCTAAACTAAGTCAGGGCTCCTGTTTAAACTTTTAATATTTTTTATTAAATTTTATTAACTAATTTTAAAATTTCCAATGATTGTAATTATATAGTAAAAAGCATTTTAAAATTAATACTAATGAATTTTAAAATTGCAAAGATCTTAATAATTAATTTAAAAATTTTATTGATGTAGTCGAGTCATAGATATTATTAATTAATAAAATGATAACACTAATTAACAAAGTAAATAGTTTAAAGTTTTATTACTAATTGAATTAAACATATGGGTTGTTATCTTTTGTACGAGGTATCAATCATTCTACATTGAATGAAAACACAGAACATACGGGTACCTTATGGGATCCATGTTAAAAATGAAATGAATTTAAACCACCTTATTCCCTATGTAAAATTAATGGGCACCACTTCATTTCCTTTTTTCTACAAAAAAAAAAAAAACTTCTTTTCCTTTCATTTTGTTCGTTCTCCTTACCCAAAAAAAAAAGCGTTCATTCCAACCCTCCAACCCTTGGAAAAAAAACAAACAAAATGGTCATTTTACTAATTTGTTGTCATTCTATGGCATAACCCTAGAATTGGCATGGGTCTAATTGAGCTTTTGACATAAGATTTGGACAGTCTGAAGATCGTTTGGCAGATGCATGTCTTTCCGTGCATCGTTTCGGGTCTTTCCGCACAAGATTAAAATGTGAAAGATACGAGAAGCTTCAAATGAAGCTTCCCGAAATCAGCCCAAAATGGGCTTCACACGTCTTTTCGACACTGTGCCTTTCGGCAGCTAAATCTTCCATGTGTCAAACGGGAGTAAACCGATTTTCGGTCTTCTTGACTTGTAAACAGCCGAAAGATTGTGCAAAAGACATGTCAAATGGCGCCATAGTAAAGGAAGGTTGTCAGGCTAGAGTCCTCCCCTTTCAGACACGTGGCATCCTATTAATTCACAAAATAGGATTCAAAAAGTGGATAGTTTTACTCTTAAACATTCTCAATAGACATTTATTTATTAGCTTAATACATGTTTATCCATAAAATTTAATTAAACAAGTGGCATCCTAAAATTTAATTAAACATCTCAGAAGTAGGCTCATCCACTCTTAAAAAAACTGTCAAAGTGGTTACCTTCAGTCACAAATAAATTTTAATTTTAATTAAGAGTCCTACAATTCAAAAACTGATTATGCATTAAAGTTATGTAAATTACTAGAATTTAGTGTAATTAGAAAATCTATTATAATAACAATACTTAGTAATTAAATACTAATTATTGATAAGAATACAAGAAAATAATCATCACCATTACTAATTAAAAATAATATTAATCTTTAACTAAATAATTAAGTAAATATTACATTTTGATTAATCTTTAAACTTTTACACTAAAGATTTTAATTGTAATAATTATTATGATAATAAAATCAATAATTAAATACTTAATAATTACAACAATAAATAATTAACTAAATATTACAATACAAATAGTCTTTAAAAAATAAAGAAATAATAATAAAAAGTTAGACATTTTTTACTTAAACAAAATAAAAATTATCAAAAAATAAAAATTATCAAAAAATACTAGCCCCTACTTAGTACGGGATCATTCTCTAATATATATTAAAGGAAGGTCTTCGGGCAACAACCTCCACCCTTCACACACATGGCATTATAAAATTTTAATAGATAGAATCTTAGAAGATGTTAAACTGTCATTCTTAAAAAAGTCTATCTATTCACAAAAAAATTGATAACTCCACTCTCTTAAAATTCACACACATAGCATTTTAATCCCTAAAAAGTGGCCACTTCAAATGTTATGGTAGTAACTAAATTTTATTCAAACATAACCATTTCAAGAGTAACAATTAAATAAATAATTTAACTTCAAAATATTCAAAATATTAAATGAATAAAATAAAAATAAATGAAATTCATAAAACTGACTAAACAATTAATACAAATGGTGTGAGATGAAATAGTTTATTAATTGGAAACTAGATTTTAACATTTTTTAGGAAGCATAACCTAATTTAGCTTTTAAAAATAAATTTATCAAATAAATAATAAATACCAATTAAAGTGGGTTATCTCATTTAATCTCTTAAATCATATTAGAAACAAAATAAATTAATAGTGATTTTCAAACAAAGTAGGTCAGAATAGATTGTCAATTACAAAGATGTAAGACCCATGTTAATTTTTGTAATTTATTTTTTATAATTAAATAGTAAATTTCAATTAAATGACAATGTAGTTTCCCCTTAATATGGGGTCATTCTTTAGATAACACATGGTAAGTCTCTTAAATCAAATAATAAGCCTAACCTAAATGTCTAATATAAATAATTAAAAAATTAAAATAATTCAGATTAATGATCCTGTATGGGGTTGGTAACTCGTGTTTTTGATAACCGAGTCAATAAGACCCCATATTGATCATCTTCTCCACCTGTTTATAAAAAACGAGCATGTGGATTCATACTAGATGCCCTATAATAGAATTGGGCCAATATCCGCCCCATTGACAGCTCTAATTTCTTGCCTTTTCAAGAAATCATTTACATATAACAAAGAAATCATGTCAAACCAAGTTCATTTATTTGCACTCCATGCAACAAAATTAACACTTGCCTCATTTGCAAAATTTGCACGGCAATCTTCATATCTTAGTTGGGGGGTAGCCCATTTGCCATTTTTTCCCAAAGGCTGAGATAAGGAAAGGAAGGGAAACCTATCCAAGGTTAGGTTTGTGCAGGTTTTCCTTCTTTTTCTTTCAACCTGGGTGTCTAGGGTTGATCAATACAATTTTTTCATAAATGCCTCTTATCTGATAGTCACTTCAACTAAAAGACCATTGGAAAATTATCCTCACAAATTTGTATTGACCAACCCAAACATTGCAGGTAGAAACAACAATGGTACAAAAACACAACCTAAGTTGGCTAGGTAGGAATAGGATAAGTTTTTTTTTTTTTTTTTTTTTTATGATTAAACTAAAATAGAAGATTTTACATCCGAAAGCAACCAGTCTGGAAGATAACTAATCCTATCAGACATAGAACCTCTAGCATGCTGAGCCATAGTATAAACTGCCCTATTAATTCTCCTATAAATATATTTAAAAAACATTATCAGAAGACTGTTTAATTTGCTTTATACAGTGCAAAATAGACCAGCAGGACCGTGATAGACAAAAGAGAATCTGAATCGGAATGAATATTCTTCCATGCAAAACATAGAACTTTTGCCTTAATTCAGTTTCCAGCACCTCCCAAAAAAGCCCCTGCAGAAACCAGAAAACTTTCATTAGAATAGCCATCCTTGACTACTACCATTCACTCCTGCATCACATTTGTTCCTGATCAGCAACTCCATCAGATTTATTATAAACTAACTGATCCCAGATCATTGCTGGAAAAAGTAGTTCTGTCATCCTTGTTCAGTACTTACCTGAAAAGAGTCCCTAGTAACCAAAAAACTGTTGTATTTCATATATTACTTGATTAGTAGGATTCACTATCCAGTATCCACATAACAATTTTTTTGTCTGTTACTAAAACAAAATCATTCCTAACATACCACAAATAGTAGAAAGCAGTAGCTATCCAACTCAGAAACTTGTCACTTTCTATATTGTTCTTCAAGTTTGATAACTTTTTTTATGCACAAATATCATTAAAAATTCCAATCAGAGAGGAAGGATGTATCTCAGACCATCCTTTCTGTTTGGCAAATTTTTACTAATAAATGTCACTGATAACAGGTATCTTCTACTTTCATAAATGATGAGCTTCAACCTATTTGGAAAACTTATACCAAAAAAATCTATTTGGCAAATGGGAGTGCTTATTCTCCATCCAATTAAATGGAATTTAGATCAAAATACATTTCTAGCAATGCTTTTGCAATCGAAAATTCTAAATTGTTTATTATCAGATGCCATACATTCAAAATATAACAATTCTTAATTCATTGGGTCAAAGTGGAAGAAAAAAAAGAATCCTCATTATAGTCGCCATATCAGACAACATTATCTGTTGAATGTTAAAGCTCTTGAATTAAAGCTTAAAACATGCTTATTTCAGAAACTCTGAGAAGGATTAGAGGACTGCCTCATCCATCCCTTTACCAAGTGAAAACTTGCCACAGCATTTTTGTTACTGCTATGTATGTCAGCTTTATGGTGATCATCAGATAACATATTGAAGGTACTACAACTAAGACATTCACATAACAGGTTGAAGACATGAAGGTTTCAGAAGAATCCTGACAAGTGGAAATTTAGGCCCATGACCAAAGACATAATAAGCTCCATACGTACTCATGGAAGATTTAGGTGACGACTGTCATAATATGAGGAGAGTCATGCAGAAACGATTTTATCTTCTTCCTCCATTTCATTTTCTGTCTAACAGTTGCCTGATTTGAAGAAGTGATTATGACTTTTTCCAACTTCGTTGCATTCTTCATCAAAAACTTCAAAAACCGGAGTTCATTCTCACATCCTAGAAAATTTGAGATCTCAACAGACTTGAGATGACACAATGTGAACTCTGGTTCCGAACCTCTTCCAATGCTTCTGGAATAAAACGATTTCTATACAACAAGCAAGACATGTTAGTTAAACAATGTACCTCAATAGACTTATATTAATTAACCTAATAAAGATCAAATCTAATATATAAAGTACTAGATGCCAGATGATTACCATAACGAGGGTCCTCCTTATATCTGATGGGCAGCATTGCTGGATGAAAGTCAAAATATATAAAAGACAATAAGCTGACATAGCTCAAACGTGAATTGATGGATAAAATACGCAATAAGCCTGAGACAAAAGTGTTTAGCTAATATACCTGCATTAATTCCATCACAAGGGCTTCTATAATAGGAGAATTTTCGAGCAAGTATCTTATTAATCGTAAGGATGCAGTGCTACACATTGTTGTCAGCCTCAAGCATCTAAGATTACAAAATGGAATGTGAACTTGCTCTAATACAGCTGGAGCTCCTGAGGCAAACTTAACCAATAGAAAAAAAGGATAAACTAATCCATTTAGATAATTGTGCAACTATGAGGCGAAAAAGAAAAAAAAATACAATTTATCTATTACTGTATAAAACAGATACCCCACTTCCACTAAACAATTGAAGCAGTCAGAGCATAAGCATGTGCTCTCTGGTTCAGATGAATCCCTTGAGAACTTGAAGCCAGTTCTTAGTAGATTTTTCACTAATAAACCCAATACTTAAGTCTATAGAACATTTTTGTGCCATTTAATTTTTGCATATTACAGAGATCAAGACGCATAACTCATGAATTATATAATGTGTACATCAAACTACAAAGTTCATTCATCAAAAAAAAAAAAAAAAAATCAAACTACAAAGTTGCCAACATAGAAGTCTCTCAAGCAATTAGCAATGTTATTCTGAAGAAAATACACCAGAGAATGTGGTATGCTGAGTTATCTAGCACATTAATTATTTCTAATTTTTAATAATATTTTGAGGAACTAATTTGGATCTCTGTACACGCTTAACAGTTTCTAACATCTCTAATTAATAACATGTTAAGAAAATCTTTATGTATAATTGAAAAGTCAAATTATACTTTGATGGTATAGATTCATCTAAATATCCTTGAGTGGTAAAATTTAGACTCCATGATTGAGAAAATTTCTTTATGTTGATATTACCATCTCAGCATTTGCACAAATATCATCATCATCATCTAAGCCTTGTCCTAACTATATGGGGTTGGCTACATGAATCTTGTTTTTCTGTTATGTCATTCCATTCTGTTAAGTTGTTCTACATCCATTATTAAATTATGAAAGCATTTGCAAAAATATAACAAGTATAAAAAAGAAAGAAAAGAAAAAGGAGGTTCAATAGTTTAACAGACATTTTTCTCATACTCATTTTCCTTGCCACTCCCCACACCAAAAAAGGAAAAAATGAAATGAAAGAAATACCCTTTTCACTTCTCTATGGAAGTCAATCTTTCAACTCTCATCCTTCACTGATTAAATTTATGACTTGTATGAAGTGCCATTTTTAATCCAATAAATGAAATAGTTGGCTAGGTATTTATGGATGATGAACAACCGAATACATATTATATCTTCAATCTGAATTCTGAAGAACCCACTACTAAAAGTTGCAAAAGAAAAGAGGGAAAAAAATTACAAGCACCCCGCAGAGGCAAATGCAATTTGATTGGGGCTTAGATTGGGTTAGAGCTAAGCGGGCCCAAGTTGCCCCCATGGCTAAAAGCCTAAAACTAATGATATCGTCGGTGAATGAAGGGAACAGATGATGATGATGATGATGAGTAGGTCCATGCTATGTTAGTTTACTACTTCAATTAAAAGAAAAGGAAAAGGAAATAATACCTCAAGCGTCCAAGGTGACAAGGTTAGAGCTTTTGCTTTGCCAAGACTTCTAAGAATCTTCATCATGCGTTGAGCATATTCTTCTCTGAACGACCTAAGTATCGACATCGCCATCGCTATGTCCGTCTCCATGTGATCATACATTATATAGATCTCATCTTCAATTCTCATTCCAATGTTAGCCTTGTCCAGAGAAGGCATGTCCAGTAGAGTATACTCATTTCTCATGGATCCTCCGCACCTGAAATACTTTAGGTTGGGTGTATCTATCTTGAAGTGGCACTCGCTGTCATAATCGTCATCAGTATCTATAACCAACTCCTTAAGTTGAAGAGAACTAATTAGGAGATACTTCAAAGGACGAAAATTGCAGTAGTCAAAGAACAAATTTTCCAAGACGGGACACCCCGAGAGGAAGTTGCTTATCGACTTATCATTCATGAAACTAATTGACTCAAAAGAAAGGTATTTGAGTAGAGGTAAACTCACTGAACCGGGTAAGGTTAGAGCAGAAAGTCTGAATGAATTAGACTTCAACTTCAGCGTCTGCAAGGAATTGCAGGTGTATATCTCACGGGGTAATCGAATATCTATATCACGAAAAGCTTGAAGTTGAAGTTCTTGAATATTATAGCTTATCGCAACGAGGATCCATGTAGCGAGGCTGTCAACACAACAATGTTCGTCACAGGAGATATTGAACTTCACTATGTCAGTTGTGTGGTTACGAAGCAGCAGTACCCTGGACACGAAATTCGTAAAGGATTGCTCTCTCCTACTCCTCTGTCCGATCGAATAAAACGAAGAGAATAGGTTGTGGTCAAAGTTTAGGTACTGAAGAGATTTCCAAAGGTGTCTCCATCTTCTGGACAAAATGCTGGTCCGAACAACATGCTTCATGTCGAGGAAGGAGAGGATATGGAGGATTATGTGGTGGGGTAAATTGCTTATTAGCATGTCTTTTACCTCCCTCGTGCTATCTTCATCGTTCGATTTCTTCCGTTCCTTTGTATTTCTTTCCATCATTCACTGGTTATCGCTCTTCACGAACCACTGCAACACAGAAATAATCACAACTCACATAGACCTGCAGATGTGCAAAGCAAAAACGAAAGCTGAGATAGTGAGAGCCTGAGACGAAACCCTAAGCAGAGGAAGGAAGAAAAGGAGGGGTCTGGAAATATTTGCCTTGAACCGGAAGCTATCTTCTTATTTTAAATTCTTCTCAAACAAGAAATACAATTCTTGTTTCAGTTTTGTCGCAAGCTGGGTCCAAGCCCATCCAAAACCCACAACAAGTCCGTAATTGAGGACCGTCTCAGCGGAGCAAGGTTTTGCTGCGTTCAGCGGACTGTGGAACGAATGATAAGGCTCAACGTCAGGAATAAAATACATGGGCCCATGAATTCATTACTTGGCGTGGAACTTCATCATTGGTTCCACAGCCCGCTGAACACAGCCAATGCGTTCAGCTAATCAGAATTCGTTTCAGCTACTCCTACTTGCTACATGTGATTTATCGCTACTGCCAGCTGGAAGACAAGCCAACTTGAGGAGCTCTAACTGTCAAAAGATTTCTGCACACGTGGCTACTTTTTGTCCTAATCTTTAAGTTGCTTCTAGATCCTTCTTCTCTTCCTCTCCCGCTGCTCTCTTTACGTTACTTCCGTCTGAAGCCGCCGTTAGCAAATTTTTCGGCTTTTCGCCATTGTTTTCGTTTTCTTAGCCGTATTGGTCGAGTTAGAGTCGTACTGGTGAGATTTTATGTGATATATGGATTTTATTTATGAGAAAAGGATAAATTAGAAAGACCTCCTTGTACTGTGGGGTAGTTTCTGTGATAAAAACTTCTTGAACTTTGGCCTTTGTCTAAAGACCTCCTTCGTTAGTATTTTATATAACTTTGAAAAAGATTTTCATTTGAACGTTTAAAATTTTTTAAATGCCTAAATTACCCATTTTATACTATTCATTGGCTTCTCGATTGAACCTCAAAGCACTCTACACCATGCCAAAGGGTTGAAAAGTTTTTGCATCATTTAGGGCTAAGCATTTGGACAAAAACCACTATAAAGACGCTCAAACCTTTAATCCCTGGAGATGGCAGCAGGTCCCCCACCTCTCCCTCTCACCTGCTTCAGGTATGATTTATACATGCACCAGGAAAAGAAAAAAGTGTTTTTTTTTTTTTACGTTTCTGTTTCTGGGTCTTCAAAGATTAACAAGGCTTTGCGCTTGATGCATTTGAGCGGTATTCTCTTTTTCTTACCCTTTGTCCTACTTGGCGTTGCTTAGGCAGTTGCTTAACAGTGATCCTTCAAATCCGGTCTTATTATCCAAGCTTGGTTACATACAAATGCAACTTGGAGATCTGGAGGGATCCAAGGCATTGTTCAATCGAGTTGAAACCTTGATGACGGAAGGTAACCCGGGAGCGTGCGTCATTGGATGAGGTACACTTTAAGAATCTCGTGAATAGGAGGAATAAGGCTTTGATATACTTGGTGGGAAAGGATTACGTTTCTGCCGTTAGAGGGTACAAGGAGTGCATTGAGAGAGATCCAACCGATGTGGTGGCAATCAATAACAAAGTTTTGTGCTTGATGTATTTGAGGGATCTCTCGGATTCAATCAAGGTGTTGGAGAATGCATTAGAGAGGACCCTGACCCTGACTGGGTACAGCTTAGTGGGGTATTTTGGTAATTTAATGTTTTTGTCATTGATTTAATGATCAAGGGGATCTTTGTCTAATGGCCAAAGTTCAGGGAGGTATTTGTCGCAAAAAAAAGTATAGTGGGGACTTTGTCACTGAACCCATAGTACAAGAGTGGTCTTTGTAATTTACCCATTAGAAAAATTGAAGATTGAGCTTTATGACATTTCCAATTAAAAGGTGTTCATTTAAGTTCAATTCAAGTATTATTTTTGGGGTTATGCCTAGTTTATCCGATCACAATCTAAGTTGTGCTTTAGTAAGAGTGGCCAATTTCTTATTCTCTAGATAAATTTGTATTTTTTTTTTGCATATTAATGCTAAATTTTATTGGTTTATTATTATTTTATATTATTTTTAGGTAAAATTATAAAAAAGCATCCTCTTATAACAACTCTATAAACCACCTTTGTGTTTTGACCTAACAAAGGCCTCCCCCCTATAGTTTTGAGGAAAAAAAAGTGCTAATACCATCTTTCCCTTGGCTCTTTAGTAATAAAGACATTAAATTTGCCAAAATTCTCTTATCATTGTTAATGTGTTATCATAAATAACTTAAAGTTTTAACTTTACCCACCACTAATTTATTTTGCTAGACAACTTTCAAAGAATAATAGTTCTCCTTATTCTTCTTAGACAATGTAAAAAGGCTTAAGTGAAGTAAAATTAATGCATTACATCAACATTTTTTTTTATTTGGAATGTTGACTAAAGGAAGGTATTTGCACCTTTTCTCAAAACAATAGGGGAGGTTTTTGTTAGGGTCAAAACATTGGGGAGTTTCATAGGATTGTTAGAAAACCCAAGTAGCTTTTTATAATTTTCCTTATTTTTAAATGAAATTTAAATTGATTTTAAAATAATTAAACTATGTTTAAAACTAATATTTTTTATATTAGTAAAAATTGAATTTATTTAAGTATATATTAAGTTTTTATTAAATTTAAGTTTCTTATGAAATTTAATTAACTATAAATTTTTATTTTCTAGTGGAACTTAAGTTTGTTTTAAATTAATAAAATTTAATTATAAAACTAATTGTTAGATAACTTTGTATTAGTTTTATTAATTTTAAATTGATATTAATTTTTAATTTATCTTAGTTGTTTTATTAATTAGATTCTTTTTATTATATTAATGAAAATATTTTATCAGTAATAATAATTAATAATTTATTTTATTTTATTTAACTTACTAAATTATTTTTATTATGGTTAATTAATTTTTATTATTTTCAAGTTGAATATAAATGGATTATAATTTTAAATGGAAGTAGATTATTTAGCAAAATAATAATTCATTGAATATCTCAATTTCAATATAATTATTTTTTACTCATAATTACAGTTTAATGCAAATATATACATACAAAGTTAATGAATTTTATGAGTAATGGAGATGAGAGAAAATTAATGGCATGAGTCATTGAAGGAGAGAGTTAATGGCAATAATTAATTAGGAGAGGTTATTACAAGAGCTAATGATTGAGTGAGTGAGTGAGTGTGTGTGTATGTAAGAGAGAGAGAGAGAGAATGAGTTAATGGTGTTTTAATGAGTGTTAAAAGTATTAAAGGTTATTGGTTAATTGAGTTATTTTATTCAATTTTAAAATTAGAAATTTCAAAAAATCCAAAAAAAAAAGATAAGTGGCTTTGAGAATAAACCATAGAGCAGGAAAGTGCCAGTTTGGACATTGCATTTTAATATATAGATATATATATTTGTTTTGATATCTATCATATATAGAAGGAACAAATGCTGGTTAGCTTAAGCGAGTTCGACATCGGTCAGGGCAACTCCTTTTTGAATAGCCTTTACACCCTTGCATTGGGAATATCTTCGTACTTATGTACTTTATTTCATGCAGAGATATTTCCGATGTAAGGTTCTCATTCTCTTCCATGAACCTCGGTTTTTGTAATTTTGTGCCAAGTTTTGTCTTTGGCTCAGTTTGGAAGCAGTATAAATATAAATATGTATAGTGCAAATATATACAAATATTAATAGTATAAATGTATACAAAATAATACATATAATACAAGATTTTATACAATTCCTAATTTTCTTATGGTTGTGTTTGGTTGCAATGCAAATAAATTTGCACTGATGCAAAACTATGGCAGTGCAAATGATTTGAATGTAAATTCTGACCTATTTTTGTTTCAAATTTTATCTTATTTTGTTTGATTGCAGTAAAAATGAAATAAATTAAGACATGAATTAGAATAAAGTAAACCCCATAATAAAATTAAACGAGAATTTGCATTTTTCTCATTTGTACTCCCATACCTTTATACTAGTGTAAATAAAATTGCACTGCAACCAAACACAACCTATCTATTGTTGGGGTTCCCTCCTTATGAGGTGGGACCCACAAACAATTACAAGAAAAAGAAAGGAAGAAAAGACAAAAAAAAAAGGATTGAAAAGTCAAGAGACTTTTTGGCATTGGCTTACAAGAAAAACAATACGCCCTTGGCTAACCAACGAATTGGTGAAAGCTCTCTTCACTCTCTCTACTCTTTGAACTCCAAAAGTAGCTCTCTAGGAAATATCAGAGAACAGAACAAGGGTTTAGAGAAGAAGGCTTTTTGGAAGAAGAAGAAGAGTTACAAGGGCCGAAATGAAGAAGAAGACAAATCCGTTTTCAGCATCTCCTCTTGCTTGCATTGTTGTGTTTTCACCTTTGGTGAGAAATTTCTTGTTTGCTGTCCAATTTAATGATGATTTATGTTATTGGTATCCAAGAGTTTTCTTGAGGTTCATCATCTAGTTTTAACTAGACAAGAAAATATTGTACTCCATTATTATTGTTGATAGTAGATGTTTGGACTTCTGTCTCGTGGTTTTTACCCTCGCATTGAGGGGTTTTCCACGTAAAAAAATTAGTGTTACTTTTTTATTATTATTGTTGCATGCTTGATATTTGAGACAGAAAATCTCTGTGATTTTTTCACAAGGAAAAATTATTGGGATTATTCCCAACAAACTGGTATCAAAGCATATTTGATTCTTGTGTAAATCATGGAAGGAAGTTCAGTTAGAATGATTTTACTAAATGGAAGAAATTGGTCTCCCTGGAAACAAAAAATGAAGGATTTGTTGCTTTCTAGAGATTTGTATGCACCTATGAGAAGTGAAAATGGTAAGCCGAAAGACATGTCCAATGAGGATTGGGAATTCCTTCACTTGAAAGCAGTTGCTTTTATTAGACAATGGTTGGATGATAGTGTCTATCACTTTGTAGCAAATGAAACCTCAACTGTTCCACTTAGGAACAAGTTGGAAGAATTGTATGAGAAGGAAACCGTCGACAATAAGGCTTTTCTAATTAAAAAGCTTGTAAATCTGAAGTATAAAGAAGGTACACCCATCACCAAACACTTGAATCAAATGCAAGACATTGTAAAATCAATTAGCTTAAATGAAAATGGTGTTGGATGATGAGCTTCAAGCTCTATTATTACTTAATTCATTGCC